TCCTGAAGATCGTCCTTGGTGGCACAACGAATGCCTTCGTACATATCACTGTATTGAGCATTAAATCATCAGTCAAAGATCCAAACATCACAAACAATTTAAAACTGATGAACAACGAGACTTTACCTTGCGATCATCGTGCCTATTCCATCTCTGGTGTAAAGCTCAAGGAGAAGAGCTCCCTCAATGGTACCATCCAAGAGATGGACCCGCCTTACCCCTGCCTAAGGACCAGCACGGCACAGCTTCAATTTCGCGAAAGAAAAAAAAATATTCGAAAGCTCCGAAGTTCTTACCCGACAAACGTGAACAGAGGCCGTCAACTCCGATAAGTATCCTTGTGTCCGCACCAAGCCACCAACAGCAAACCCCTTCCCGCAGGAATCATAGTTCTCTTCGCTGAGTGCTAAGTCGCCGGTGGACGCACTCACATAAAAACCGCGCCTTTCATTCGTGAAAGGAACGTCCGCTAGACCGAGACTTTTCGCGTAGCTTGCCCCCGCCAGAGCCTTCACGTAATCGGCAGCGATGTAACTTTGGCTTGCGCGCTGTCTTATCAGCTGGTCGGCCCGAAGAAGTGTCATGAAGCGAATCAGGAATCCATTCTCGTCAAGAACCGGACCGTCGAGCAGGCACAAAAGCTTGTCAGCCTGAAGAGCCACCGCGCACGCCGTCGCCACCTCGTACGTACTAAAAGCGTTTTAAGAAAAAGAAAGAAAGATCAAAGATCAAAGGCAATGGATGCTTACTTGCAGTTTAGAACCTCTCCCGTGCTAGAATACCCAAGATTGCTCATCAGGACGATGCAGTTCTTGTCGAGCCTCTCTTTGATGCGTTCCGCATCAATCTTTTTCACTTCTCCAGTCGCTCCAAAGTCCACTCCATTGACCACGCCTCTTCGCTGCACAGTTCAAGCCCAGATCGTTACGCAGATTCTCATCACGCCTTCACGAACCTTTGCTGACAGAAAATTCCCACTCGCAACACCCAAGCCGGACTCGTGCCACCTTTCATTCTCGCCATGCCGACGAAGAACAGGGATGCTTGGTCCCCGTGAGAGCTTCGCCTCTATCTCGACGCGCAATTTTCCAGCCGCCTCCATGGAAGCATCGAGAGCGTGAGCATCAGTTATCCTGTAAGCTCCAACATATCTCGGCTCTCTACCTGCAATCTACAAGCATTTATTAGCTGTTTGTGTCGTTCCTCTGGAATCCAACCTCTCTTTTCCGCTCGAAAAACTAGAGTCCCTCCTCTCGCAGATCCAAATCTCCTTACCCCTCTCCCGGAGAAGATCGTCGATTTGGACGCGGACCCCCGGAACGAGCACAATCTGGATTCCCAATCCATGGAGCAGTGAAACATCCTGGCAAAGTCGAGGCAAATCAGCCAGGAACAATTGAGATCACCACAAGAACCTGCAAGATATTGTCTAGAGTCTCTCGCTTTGCCAAAATCTCGCCTGGGACAACGATCACGAATGTGCTGCCGCGATGGCCTTGGATGTATGGCCACGCTTCCCTGAACCAATGCACATAATCCCGGTGGTTCTCTCTAACCGCGCAAGAACCGTTGGTATTTACTGCCGCCGCCGCCAGAGGACTTGGCAATCTCCGCACGGAGCGAGCGATCGGGGGAAGCTTATTAGGCGATGGAAGCCAATGCAAGCGTGATGGTAGCGATCCAGTAGCTCTCCCTCCTCCTCCACAAGAGCAATTTACCTGTTTGGTGAATACCCACGATTGCCGATCCATTGCCAGGCATTGAGATGCGGCCCTTTGATCCATTGCCAAGCCCTGTGATGCTGCTCTTCGGCAAGAGAAATCTACGGGCAAGGATGCGATGATGCTTTGATGCTCTCTGATTGATGCCAACATTGCCCTAAAGTACAAGTCTATGTCAGTAAAAGCCTGCAGCTAGAATGCACCTGGAAAAACGCGGCGGCTAGAAACAACACGTCACTACCAGGTCTCTACACCACGTGCTACAACGTAATGAATTCAAGTTAAAATTTTGCAGCTGATGTACGTTGACGACCTTTGGACGACCTTTGGATCACCTGTTTCAACGTTCCTTCCGCTCTTTCCTGTCAATGAAGAGGTACTACAACTTAAACTGGATATAAAAATCAAATGAATCTAGTCACAAACAAGAAAAGCGATGAGATCAAACCATCAAGCAATGAATCTAGTCACAAACGAAACGGTGGGAGACCTTTAACCATCAACCAAAGAACCTTCACAAAGGATCAGGTAGGAAATACAAACATCAGACAAAGAATCACAAAACACACACAATGAATCTAGTCACAAACGATGAGAGATCTTTAATCATCAACCAAAGAGCCTACACAAAGAATAAGTTAGGAAATACAAACATCAAACAAAGAATCACAAAACAGACACACACAGAGAGAGAGAGAGAGAGAGAGAGAGAGAGAGAGAGCTTTCTTACTTGACGACTTGAGGCTTGAGTTTTGGAAGCTTTAGCTTCTCCTCCCTGGCCTTCTTCTCCACTGCGAGGAGCTCCGAGCTTATAACTCGCGTTTGCTGTGGCTGATAGTTTGGATCGTCCCACGTATGCAGCTCCTCGAATGGCACCAGCAGCGGCCCCACGTCCTTCCACATTAGCTGCTCCTCGTCGCCATCTTCGTATCGGACCTGATGACAAGCTCACAGATAAGAAATCCATGCAGAAATACTTCTTTCGAGACCAAACCTTGTAGCGTCGGTTCCTTCTGTCGTAGTCCGCAACTTCGCCGCGAAAGACCCTTCCATTGAATCTCTTCCTCAGCTTGCGTCCCCGGAGCTTGATTCCCCGGTCGAACGGCGATGGCTTGCTCTCGCTCGCGTTTAAGTTCGTAGAAGTAATCGCTGTGGAAGGAGTAGCAACCTCGAGAGATTTTGGAGACGGCTCCGGCGACTCCAGCACCTCGGGTGGTTCCGGAAGAGCTAGCTTTGCCGGACTCAGCTCCACCAGGCTTGGCTCCACAATAGACTCCACAGCCACGGTCTTCTTCTTCTTCTTCTTCCGCTTGAGATTCGCACAGCTCTCCTTGAGTTTCCTCTTGAGCTCCGCTGCGATGACCTGACGCCGCCTCGTCAACTCGTCCACTGGAGTCGGCTTCTTGGGTCTCTTCTGCCGCTTGATCGCCAGGGTGCCATCGGATCCCTCCTGTTTCGCGAGCCTGCGCTTCTTCTTGTAGCCCCTCCACCTCTGCAGCGTCAAGACGTGCTTTCGTTTCTTCTTGGGCTTCTTCCTCAGCCTCTCCAGATCGCTCTCGTTCAAGCTGCAATCACTGTCGTCGTCGACTCCGTCTTTCCTATCCCGCTCTTCATCCTCTTCGTCGTCGTCCTCGTCTTCACTGTCGATCTCTGGCTCGTCTTCTGATCCGTCCTCGCTTAAACTGTCTAGGCTCTCGCTATCTTCGTCATGGCTTTCCTCGTCATCCTCTTCGTCCTCTTCATCCGCTTCCTCGCCACTACTGATTGCGTCAACCTCTTGTTGCAGCTTCACGGGAGCAACGGATTTACGTGGCCTTTTCTTCGTCGCCACCACCTCGAGTTTGCTCTGAACCACGACGTCCGCAAGCATGTCCATCTTCTCCATCCTTTGCACTTCTTGAACTTGCGTGATCACGATGGCGTTCTCGTTAGACACTTGCTGGATCCTTGCTTCCCGTTCATAATCACTATTCTTCGCCTTGACATCATCCTCACTATCTGTAGCTGCTTCAGAGTTTGTAGACTGTTCTCCTGGTTTATCTTGCTGGTCAGCACTTGGCTCTTTTTTCTTTTGCGAAAATCTGGAAAAAGGAGAAGAGATTCGCCAAGCAAGCACAAAAAAATTGTAAAGATTACCTCTTGAAAATGATTTCTTGTGGGATATACTTCTGTAGTTCTTCCCATTTAATCTCCTCAGTTTGGTCGCCCTCGAATCTCACCTACAAAAGCAAAGACACGAATTTTAAGAAAACTGACAACGGCAAATCCGAAGAACAAAACCTTGTAAAGTTTGGTCTCGGGATCATATTCTTCCACAGTTCCAGGAGTGTCTTTCTTTGTAATTGTCTTACCGATTAATGCCTTCCCTTCGCCAGTATACTCGGCCTCCTACAAGAACGACCCAAGTGTGAGAATTCCTCGTTACAAGAAAGAATTACTCGACTCACCGTGTGTGCCTCACTTTTCGCCACTATTCCACCTAGACATGCCACAAGCCATGAAATCCTCATCCATCGAGGCAAGAAAGACCTACCAGAGGATTTCGTCTCCATTGCGCGCCAAACCTAGCTCGCACCTCGCAAATCCCGGAGATTTCACAACATTCCCGCAGAGATTCCCGCGAGCCGCCACGCTCAGCTCCACTGCCCGCTACGCTCTTCACTAAGCATTCGTCCACAAAAACCTCAGATACCTAGTACCAATCAGACATTGACACGTGTCTAGATCAAGTTTTCCAAAAATCAGTTTGTTTGCTATTGTTCTCCAGGGAGCATTGTGTCGCCTCCAGGAAGATCACAAAATCCATTCTCCTGAAAAAAACGAGGGGGAAGACAATGGATAGAACAGAATTGCTTTTGATTGAGGAGAAACAACGACATACCTCGCCGATAAGATGAGCAACGCATTTTCTTTCCGCGATAAGTTCGTCCTCGCTCTGTGGAAAAAAGAGAGAATTCTCTTCAGTTCTAATTTCCAAGTGGATGTTACCTTCTTTATGCGCTCGTATAGATACTTGTCAATATGAAGTCCCGGCACGATCTCGTAATCACCGTCTCCCTGGATGAGATAGCAACATATAAGTTTTTCGCGAGTGAGATCAAGTAACCTCACCTTCGATCTGCATGGTAAGCTGAAGACAAGATCGCCGTCAATGCCATAAGGGTTCCCAGCAGCATAAACCTGAACAAAAAAGAATTTTTTTTCAAAGTTTTACGAGAACTTGCAAGAAATGTTACCCCCGAAGAAAACCAGTCCCCAGGGGGAGTGGGCTGAACCAAGGATTTCATTGCGTCCACGATCGATACTGCTGTGGATGCAGCAGAAGAGCGCCCCCATTTCTTGATGAGAACACCTCCCCGCTGCATAAACAGGTGAATCTAGTACTTGAATCCTTTCAAGTTCGAGAAAACCATACCGTTTGTACAGTTGGAGTAAATTGTTCCTCAAGCCACTTGTGGTCAGTTATGACTTCTTTCACAGGCCTTCCATTGATTTTTGCATTCAGAAAGTCAGGTACCTTCAGGCCAAAAAAGATTCTTGTCTGTATTTCCAATTGAATAAAGCACATACTTGTGTTGTAGAATGGTTTCCCCAGATAGTAACATTCGAAACGTTGTCATAAAATACTCCAGCTTTAAGAGCGAGCTACTAGGTATGGAAATGTAGTAAAAGGTATAAAAAAGAACAGATCCAAGACTTGGCTGAAGAATGTACCTGGCATTTTGCTCTGTTTTCGTCCAGCCGAGTAAGAGCATGGAAGTTTTTACTGGGAATCCGGGGTGCATTTTTCATGCAAATGAGAGCACTGAAACAAAGAAAAACCACCTCGTAAGTATAGAAAACAGCGAGAAAAATACATACTTGGTATTGCATGGATTTCCCACTACAACAACCTTCACGTTCGAGCTAGCTACTTCATTAAGAGCTCTACCCTGCAAAACCGCAAGGTTTTGAACTTATCATTTGATAAAAGAGAGATTCCAACCTGTGCGGCAAATATTTGTCCATTGATGTCAAGTAAGTCAGCTCGCTCCATGCCTGGTCCCCGAGGTTTAGCACCAATAAGCAGAGCCCACTCCGCATCTCGAAACACCTCATACGGGTCTATGCCGATTATGACCTCCCTCAACAGAGGATAGAGTGAATCTTCTAACTCCATAGCAACTCCTGCAAAACTCACGTGAGATTGATACTCAAAATCCAGTTTTGTAAAACTTGAAAACCTTCAAGTGCTTCTTTCGATCGCTCTGATCCCAGAAGATTGAGTGCCACAGGTTGATCGGGTCCAAAAACCTCGCCAGAGGCAATCTAGGAAGAGAAAAATGCATAGATAAAAGAGAAAGACGAACTCATACCTTGAAAAGAAGATGATTGGAGATCGTCCCAGCAGCTCCTGATACTGCAACGCGCACGAGTTTTTTCTTCCATGATTTCGGTTTCTCCTCCTGGTGGATCCAATGTTCAATCGCTATCACACTGGAATCCAATCCAACTTACTTCTTTAAGATCATAAATAACGCAAAAAACACCGTAGCATTCAGCTCCCTTGGGCAGCGGTGGCGCTTGAGCTGGACTGGAAGAGAAAGATCGCAGCAAGAAAGAATTAGCGGGAAAACCATTTAGGTCAGAGAAATCTACCTGGGAGCATTCACCGAGCAAGTAATCCGATGCTGCTGCCTCGCTAAGAGATGCCTGCTCCATCCAGCCGCCTTGCTGATGCGGCGCGATCCATGAAATGTGCTCCTAAACTTCACGCTCTTCTGCTCATCGCACGAATCCAAAGATTGGAATGGAGACTTGAATAGCGCCGCCTGCGACGCTGCCACCGCCGCCGCCATAGCCTAGAGCGCGCGCGCCTCACACGATCATATACAAGATAGAATGAGAATGGAGCTGGAAGAGAGAAATAGAAAACGATAGCGCACTCACAAACGCCAATTCGTATTCGATCGATGAATAGGCGGCCTGGGACGCGTCCGACGTGTCAGATAGAAAAGCAGAGCGAAAGGCCTCCCGCGTGCCACGTCGAATCCGACGGGGCGTCCACATCACTGCCGTTGGATCGCAGCATTTTCTTCTTTCCAGCCAGCCAACTAGCTCAAAATCTCCTGGAGAAGCCGGATTCCCGGAAACTTGAAGATTTCATGCGTTACCTGGAAGTTCATCGACTTAAAAGTAAGATCATCTAGAAACGAGAACTGTAATGTTTTGAGAAAAGTTGGAACTTTCATGCAATTCCAGTGGCAGTGAATAAGAAGTGTATACCTCGATTGCTATTGAGAATCCAGGACCTGAAAGCCACGATCTTGAGCGTGCATATTAGAACTTAGCACGTAAGGAGTGGCATTACCTGGACTTAAATCCACGTACCTCTGCGTTGCTCGTGTTCCTCGGCTGGAGTCACTGTGGATCTTGCAAGCTCCCAGCAGAGAGTTCCACGCCACCGAGTCGGGCTCGTAAGGCATGCTGCCGATCAAGTCCTCGACTTCTTCCAGCTTCCCAGCTTTTCCCAGGAGCTCCATCAAGCACTGGTAATGATCCGGCAAAGGCTTCAACTGGAAGTCGGCCTGCATTGCGAGAAGGTCCTCCCAGCATCTCTCCAGCAACCCCGAGTGGCCACAGGCGAAGAAGATGTTGGTGAAAGTGATCCGGTCCCTGGAGAAGCCTTCCATCTCCATGAGCCACGGCAGCTCCAGCGCTTCTCGGGCATGCCCTTGCTGGGCATACGCGATTATCATCGCGTTGAATGAGATGGTATCCTTTTCCGGCATAACCAGAAAGATGGCTCGAGAAACTTTGATCAATCCGGTTCTAGCATAGGCAGTGATGAGCGCATTGTTCAGACTGATATGAGCTTGAAAACCGGCTGCCACGGCCTCTGCACGAATGAAAGTTACGCTGGAAGGCGCGCTACAGCAATTGAGAACGCTTACCAGAGTGACCCGGTTTGGACTAACGCCTTCTAGGTCCATTCTTGCGAAAGTTTCCATAGCCCGGTTCTTTTCCTGGTTGTGCACGTAAGCGGAGATCATCCCAGTCCATGAAACAATGTCCTTCTCTTCTAAAGCATCAAAAACACTCCGAGCATCAACCAAGCTTGCAAACCTGCCATACATGCTTATCAGTGCGTTGATAGCTTTCGTCTCAACCTCGAAACAAATGCTACCATGAATCATCTTGCCTTGAGCTAAGCTCGTACAGCCACTGAGAATGCTCACCAGAGTCACTGAATTTGGAGAAAACCCATCGAGATCCATTTGCTGAAAAGCTCCAAATGCCTCCTCGCAAAGCCCTGCTTGAACAAAACCAGAGATCATAGCATTCCAAGACACCACATTCTTCTCAGGCATTTTTGAGAATACCTTTCGGGCCTCGTCGAGCTTATTGTTCTCCACCAAGGCCGTGAGCATCGCGGTGGAAAGGATCACATCCGGCTCTGGGGCGCTGTCATACAAGAAAGAAGCCTCTTCAATTTGCCCGTTCCGGGCATATGCTGTGATCAGTAGAGTCCAGGAGAAAACGTTTGGCTCCTTGATCCTGTCAAACGCCTTGCGCGCTTCTTGCAAGCTGCCACAACGAGCATACATCTGGACAACAAGATTCCCCAGAAATGTGTCGCTGCGATCCAGCCCTGCCTTGGCAACATCGGCGTGTGCGCTCTTGGCCTCGCGCAGCGATTTGCAGTGACGCAGGAGCTCGGCAAAGGAATTCCTGGAACCAAGAAGATCCATTACCCTAGCGCCTTACAGGACCTGGCTAGCGCTGTGTAGGATCCGGCATTCCATCGATCGAGCTCCACAATGCGCCGTGCAACCCCAATCGATTCCTTTCTATGAATCGATGCAGCTAGCAGCGATCCCAGCTCCGTGGCCTGCGGCTCAAACGGCATAAATTCCACGAGCTCCTTGGCGCTGTCGATCTGCCCAGCCCGTCCAAGAACATCGACAATGCAGCAGTAGTGCTCTCTCCACGGCGAGAGGCCGTGTTCTTGGCTCATGAGCAAGAAACCCTTGACAGCCCGATCCACCAATCCGCTGTGGCTGCTGGCATGCAAGATCGCGATGAATGTGACAGCATCCGGTTGGAATCCTTCCATCGCCATCCCGATCAAGAGCTCCGCCGCGTGATCCGACTGAGAATGCGGCGATGCGAGGAGCGCATTCACCGCGGCGACGCTGCGATCAGGCATCCGCTCGAATAGCCGCAGAGCTTCGCGACGATTTCCACTGCGCGCTAGACACGCGAGCATCGAAATCCAGCTCGCGAGATCCCTAGCAGGCATTCTCTGGAACAAATCCTTAGCCTCGAGATCTTGCCCGTTCAGAGAATATGCTGTAAGCATTGTGTTCCAGGAGACGGTATCTCGCCAGGGCGAGGAATCGAACACCAACTTTGCGTCGAGGAGATGACCACTGGCGCCGTACGCCTGGACCAGCGTGTTGTACGACACACTGTCGCGCTGCGGCATCTTCTCAAACATGACCCTGGCATCTTCGAGATTCCCAGAGAGGCAATACGAGTAGATCAGGATATTCCACGAGACGTCACAATGTTCGGGCATGGTGTCAAATAGCCTTTTGGCCTCCGCCACCTTTCCAAGCTCCATACCGTACCCTTCCAGCAAGACATTGTAGGAAACCAAATTTCTCTCTGGCATCTCATCAAAGATTTCTTTAGCTTTAGATAGATTCCCCAACTGGGCATATGCTTGAATCAGGCATGTAGACGAGACAAGGCAGTGTCTTGGCATCTTTTGGAACATTGCTATGGCTTCCTCTAAATTGCCACCTTTTCCAAGCATCCCTATGATCGACGTCCAACATACATTGTCCCACTCAGGCATATCGTCAAGTACCTTTCTGGCTTCATCAAAAAGAAAGTTCTCTCCAAGTCCCTGGAGAAGTATCGACCACGATACTAGACTCCTCCAAGGCATACTCTTCTCAAACATCTCCACGGCATCTTTTAAAAGCGATGCCTTGGTGTATGCCATTAGCAAAAGATTCCAAGATAAGATGCTTCTACTCGTCATTCGGTCGAAGATTTCCTTGCATTGTTCTAGTTGCCCATGTTGGGCATATGCCGTGAGAAGAATGTTCCAAGTAACAACATCTTTCTCTACCATTTTACGCAATAGTTCTTTGGCCTTGTCAAAACAACCATCTAGACTGTAACCTTGCATTATCGTATTGCATGACACGGTGTTCCAAAATGGCATTGCTTCAAACAAAACCAGTGCTTCTTTGAAGAGGCCATTATCCACATAGGCAGCGATCATAATATTCCATGTCACTACATTTCTTTCCATCATGGAATCAAACAATTCTTTGGCTTTTGATATGCACCCAATCTGAGCGTATCCTTTCATCATGGCCGTCCATGTCACCACAGTCCAGTCCGACATTGCATTAAACAGTGCCTCGGCATCGTCCATTTGCCCCGCTCCGGCATATGCAGCTATTAGTATTGTCCATGTCACTGTGTTTCTATAGAGCATACTGTCGAAAATTACTCTCGATTCGCAGAGTTTGCCAGCTTTTACATATGATTTCAACAGAGAATTCCATGCAACCACATTTTTACTGGGCATTTCTTTGGCAATATTACTCGCCTCCTCCAAATGGCCATTTTGAGCATATGCAGTCAATATTATGCTCCATGAAAAACTGTTTGGCTGGCGGATTCCATCAAAAACTAGCTTTGCCTTTTTCAAGCTCCCACAGTTCCCATACATCTGGACAAGGAGATTAGCAAGGTAGTGGCTATTTGAATGATTGCTATGTGTGATTTGGGTGTGAAGTTGCTGAGCCTTTGATAGATCCTTACAAGAAGTGAGTAAGGTGGCAAAATCTGCCTCAGTTGCCACCATTTTACTGGCAATTTAAATTTAAGTCTGTCATATGAACTATAAGAATGTCAAAATTAACATATAACAAACTTAGCTATACCCAAAAATTAAGAAAAGAGGTGATCAACTCTTTTGAAATACAATATGGACATTGTTATATTTTGAACTCTTTGCTAATATTATTTCTTCTTTTTGTGTTTCTTTTTTATCATGAGCTAAGTCATGAGACACCTTTTGAAAGAGGTGTTATCTTATAATAGTAATGTAATAGCTAAACACTTGTCAATGTATGCATCCCTATTCACAGTATCATATTCTAACATATATTAAGTGCTGAAATACAATATCACATTAAATGGCTTATGATTTGTTGAAAGGCATAGTTATAATATAATATTTTAGCTTTATGCTTTTTATGAAATCTGGTATAAATAAATCTGAAAAACATATTTACTTTGTGAGTGCATAAAATATAGAAAAGGAATACAAAAAATATGCATATCAATTAGCCCAAAAACCCTAGTTTATATACAAAAGCAAGTGGTCTAGAAACCAATATAATAACTACCAAAATCCCATTACACTAATATTAGTATATAGTACTATAGTCATACACTTAGACCTCACATCATCCCCTCCTCTTGGAATAATGGAAGACTATTAAAGTTCTCTCGTAAATGGGCCAGGATCTTGAGGAACATCAGAAGGAAGCATTTGTGGATCTGTAAATGGTACTAGTTATTCTTGATCCCTTCGTACAAAACGTTTCAACCACTACACATGCACAATTTTTAGAGGATCAGCTTGGTAGATATTATATTAAACCTTATAAACTTGCAGTCCAACTTGCCACCACACCTGATATGGTCCTTTCCATTGAGCAAGGAGCCCTTTAAATAAACCATGTATTGTAAAATGGAGAAAACAGACTAACACTAAGTCATCCACTTTGTACTCTGCTAATAGACGATGATAGAAATTATAGCACTATTGTTGTCCGACTTGTATGTGGCCCAAGTGTTTAATAAACTCTACTCAAACAAGTGGACGAATGCTCGTCAAATACTAATCCCACAACTTAGCATCAGCAGCTCGTCGCAATCGCAAAGATAAACCTAACTCCATTGGTAATATTGAATCATAACTATATAAGAGTTTATATAGTGAAGCACCAATAGAACTCTACACCTGTTAAGCACTAGGTCAGGATAATAGGATAAGGAAAGGGCTCTGCAATCAAGTGATCACCCCTTTAGCCAGTTGGCTTAGGGTGTAAGGGATAGGATCCTAATATTGGTATCAGAGCCTAATTTGATTCTCATGGCTAACGAGTGGGGCAAGAATATTTTGAAGGAATATTCAACATAGTGGATCTAGAGGGAGAACCAAAGTTTGGTAGACCCTAAGAGAAGGATCATGGTGACCGGAGGGTGGCCTAAGTATGATCGCGGTGTAAGCAACCAAAGAGAACGACTCGAGAGACGGTCCATAGGGTTTAGATATAGAGGGAAAGGGCCCATGAATAAGAGTGCACCCCTTTTTCCAATCGGTTAAGGGTTTTAGGATATTTGGAGTTAAGCGTCTTTGGGTTTGAATAGTATTGGGTTGGGTGACCTCCTGGGAAGTCTAAATTTAGGAGCTTACATTTGGTATCAGAGAGGTCTCGAGTCCGACTCTGTTGGTTGGCTAAGGGAATCACACCACATGTTGATTAACATCTAACTGGTCCAGTTTGCTCCCGCTGGGCTCGACCCGAGGGGTAGGGTGTCAAGAGAGCGGGGCTCTCGGGAGAGCTGCGGCTCTCAGCTTCCGTTCACGAGGGCGTGAACTTGCAGGGAAGCGTGGTAGATTGTAAGCAACCAAAGAGAACGATTCGAGAGACAGTCCAAAGGGTTCAAATATAGAGGGAAAGGGCCCATGAATAAGAGTGCACCCCCTTTTCCAATGGGTTAAGGGTTTTGGGATACTTGGAGTTAAGCGTCCTCATAGGGTTCAAATATAGAGGGAAAGGGCCCATGAATAAGAGTGCACCCCCTTTTCCAATCGGTTAAGGGTTTTGGGATACTTAGAGTTAAGCGTCCTTAGGTTTGAATAGTACTGGGTTGGGTGACCTCCTGGAAGTCCAAATTCAGGAGCTTACATGCGGATGATCATTCCCTAACGAGGGGAGCAAATTCAGGAGCTTACATGCGGATGATCATTCCCTAACGAGGGGAGGATTGTTAGGCACCAGGTCAGGATAATAGGATAAGGAAAGGGCCTTGCAATCAAGTGATCACCCCTTTAGCCAGTTGGCTTAGGGTGTAAGGGGTAGGATCCTAACAACACCTTTGTGACATATGTATACCAAAGAAATAGCAAATACCCATCCTAATCCAAATGCTAAAAGTTCAGGATAATAGGATAAGGAAAGGGCCTTGCAATCAAGTGATCACCCCTTTAGCCAGTTGGCTTAGGGTGTAAAGGATAAGATTCTAACAACACCCTTATGACATATGCATACCAAAGAAATGGCAAATACCCATCCCAATCTAAATGCTAAAAGTTCATGTACTTTGCGATTATCCCTTTGACTGTCTGATAAGCCATTCCACCAAACCGTCTGACTATGGATGATAAACATTCGTGAAAACCCTAATTGAGACATCAAAACATGAAATGCCTTAGCCATAAATGTAGGATTGTTATCCGAAAGAATCTATTTCAGACAAAAATGTTAGAACACCACTCGATTGAGAAAGAAGTATCCAACAACAATTGCAAAGGTGTTAGTAAGAGCACCAACTTCCAGTTAGCAAGTCAAGTAGTTGGAAGCAACAATAATATACTCATTGTCAATATTCAATTGTGGAAAAGGTTTCATAAAATCAAACACCACCAACTTAAACGGACAAGAAACTACAATAAACTCTAATTATCCTTTTGTAGCACGAGGGGGAGTATTATAAGCTTAGCACCAAATGCAATTATGCATATATTGGATAATATCATGCACCTCCAGCCAATAAAAAGACTTATGCAACTTTTTAGTCATATGACGATGTCCTATATACCTATCTAGAACAAGAGAATTATGGTAGGCATGGAAAAATTATAGAATAAAGATTGAAAGCACCACTAGTTATAAATGATCATCAGGATCCATCCCCACAAAATAAAGAAGACCGTCTTCAAGGTGATATTAAAAATGTAAATGCTAGAATTGCAATTCATCAGTAAGTGATGTAGGATTCTCAAACCTATCTTGAAGCGTTTGAATCTATAATTCAATCTTTTGAGCCTCATGAACCTCATCAAGAGAAAGTAAATATTTTTTTGCACCTTATGAACATTAAACACCAAATATAGCAACCATAGACGGCACTGAATGCTCATCTAGAAAATCCACTGATGCTAAAACACCAAGCTCGTTAAAAACATGAGAAGAAAGCAAAGAAGAAAGAGGAACTCATAAAAGGGCATCAATGTCAACCATAAAACTCCCTGAGAGATAACAACATCAAAATCATATATTTAAAGTTTCAAAACCCACTAAATAGTACAACCAACTATGTTCTTCCAATTTAATAATGAAGTCACAACGGCGTGATCACCTTCCAATAACATCCGAGAACCATATAGATATACATGAAGTTTCTCAAAACCCTAGACTGCTACTAAACACTCCTTATTTGTTGTGAAGTAGTTTGTCTCTGCTAATTGTAATGTATGGATTATATATGCAATGGGATGGCACTGATCAAGCATATTTAAACTCTCTTGCATCAACACACCTCCAAAACCAATATCATAAGCATCCACACACAAAATGAAAATTCGAGTGTAATTAAGATACACTAAAATTGTAGGAGTTGTCAATGTCTCCTTGAGATCCATGAATGCCCACTCATAGTCTGTAGACCAAATAAAAGATGATATTAATAACTTCAATAATACACACAACGGTGTAATGTGATCAAAAAGATAATCTACAAAATTATAGAGATACTACACCTTATTTAGGAAGCGATACATATCATTTACACACTTTGGAATAAGGAACTTTACAGCCACAAATTTGTTAGGATCAACTTGCAAACCCTTACGAGAAATATGATACCTAAAATAAGTTATGTCCTTGAACCCAAACACACATTTCGACTGCTTCAACTTTAGACCAACTTCTTATAGATGTTTTAACACTTTACAAACATCACAAATGTATTCCTCCTATGTCCTCTTTGAGTGGATCAAAACATCATTGAATTCAATAGTCACCTCTAGCATATCACAAAGAATGTCATTTATCATTTGCTGGAAAGTTATTAGAGCATTGTTCAAACTAAATGGCATTACCAAAAACTTGTACAAACCAAATAGTGTACAAAAAATAATCTTAGGAATATCTCTTTCAGCCATCAGTACTTGCTAATACCCAGAAGCAAGATCTAACTTGGTGAACCAACAACTTCTCCTCAAATGATCCAAGAGATTAGCAGTGCAAGGAAGAGGGTACACATTTGGGATCATCACTTCTTTTAACGGATAATAGTTGATATAGAAATAACTTCTATCAAGTTTCATCACAAGATGAGGTCCACATGCCCAAGGACTTCACGACTTCCGAATAACACCCTTCTTTAACATTTTTTTGGTATTTATATGTAAAATCTTGATCTCTTTGGATAACCAACGATGAACAAAAACCTTAATTGGATGAGCATCTCTAGTTAGAATTGGATAACATGTGGTAATCTTGGCCCCAAACAATACATCAAATTCAAAGAGATCGGCATACTCTTTCATGAGCCGGTCAACTACTACAACAATAAGATTGTTAGAAGGATCGGAAAAGGGAAGAGCAAAATAAGACAGAAACATAAGAGGAAATAATGGGGAGACAAAAGTAATAGAAGCAAAGGTAAAAACAAAGGGACAAAGATATATGGAAGTGAAAAAAATGAATGAAATATAAAGAAGGATGAGATAATGGGGGGAGAAGCTTTAAAATCACACTTCGCATGATTGTGCTACAAGCAATT